TAAGGTAGGGAAAATTTAATACAAGTTACTCTATGGATCAACAGATTTTCATGATTACAGAGTTTGGTGAAAATACAATTTAAATTGAAAGCTTCTAAAATGAAAAATTTCCCAACACAACTCGAGACATCCAGACAGGTTTTATTGAAAAGATTTACTGCAGCCAACGTTGAAAAAGTTTACTGCAGCTTTTGACTTCTTCAAAGAGCTGATAACCCTGCAGCAGAACAAAATTATTTGAAATAAAAAAAATGTTGCTGAGTTTTGCAATTTATTTATTGAAACCTTATACATACATAGTTTGGCTGTAGAACTCTAAAATCATATTTTCCAAAATGTTTTTATCCCATAACACAGAATACTGATTAAAGCAAAGGAATACATATCATTTAATTTGTTTTTCAATGTGCTAAATACAGAATTATTTGTTCATTTGGTAAACATTACCTCATCTGCTTCTTCACCTTCTTCATCATACTGGAGAAAAAAAAAAAGGTAAAGTCTGAATGAAGGTAAAATGTATTTTGGAATAGAATGAATGACATCCATCACTGTATAAACTATTTTAAGAGAAAAATATTTTCCCCTAAAGCACATTAAAACACACATTAAGTATGGGCATCACTCAGCTCAGTGCCATTATCTAAAACCTGAATACAGTGTAATAATGGAGACAGTGGGATTAGACAGCAACACGTTAATATTGCTTGCCTATACTTACACATGAAACACATCACAGTTTCTAAAAGCTTTTCTAACAACCACCACTTAATAATAAACCCAAAACACTAAGGGCAACCTAATTTTACCTTGATTTTCTGGGATGAAAACTCTATGCCTCCTAATAAACGTTATCTTAAACACCAAAAAAGGTCCTAGTTCTTTTTGTTGTAGGTGAAGGCATGACAGATCTACAACACTAACCAAAGGCAAAACTTTCATTAAGAATCAGGTTTCTATTAGCAGAAAAGTGAAACAGAAGATAAATGAACCCAAAGACCCTAAGACCTACTTAAAACTCAGAAAAGCAATCCATAGGACATCAGTAATTAGTCTATTTGAAACGATTCTATGTCTTGCTTCAAAAAATTTATATCTAGCTTCTTACCAATCCTAACTATCATACTCTCACCAAATTACTTCACTGCAGGACTCAAATTCACTTACATCATCATCATCATCTTCAATTGCTTCTCCAGTAAAGTATAACACTGATCTTGGGATAATACGTTCACGTAAAAAGTGACCAATTTCAAAGTCTGCAGCAAGTATAGCTTCAGCATCATCATCCTGTTTTGTTTGTTTGTTTGTTCAGGGGAGAAAAAAAGCACAAAATTTAAGAATAAATTTGTTATTAAATTTGACATGTGTGAAATTCTTTAGTTTAAAATCATGACGGAAGATACTTTGAACTTTACTTTTTCTTTCTGTCACTGCCATATTAGCGTACATGAATGTAAATCAAATAGTCGCCGCCCACCTGTTTTAAGTTTTTTATAAAAAGAAACTAAACTGTCAGGCTAGCATACATGGTAAGAGAAACTAGGGGACAAACTGTACTACTGATTGTTTAAATCAAGCCTGTATGGTAGGCACACTTCATAGCTCTTGGCTAAGCTACATGCTGCATATTTCAACATATATGGCCACAATACAAAAACTATTTTCATTGGAGTAACACACACAGGAGAGAGATCTAACCATAATGTCATTGAAAGAGTTTAGCAGACAGTATAAATGACTTAAAATGGTAGTTTCACTAAAGAAAACGAATGCTTCACAGAAATATTTCAAGTCTCCAAAGAAATTTAAATCTTTAGCTTTTTTTTTTTTTACATTTCTATGTTTCAGTGAAGAGCTAACATCATTTTGAATGACCTTCCAGACATATAAAGGTCTGCCCCTGCATGAAAGGTCTGTCTCCTAACACAAAGCTAGCAGTAACCATCCCATTCTCCACTTTTGAGGACCAGTGCTTCAAATTCAAATATAGTCAATAATACAATAAATAATGATTCAACTTACCAGATCTCCACTCTCGGGAACTGTAAATTGAGAAAAGAAATTTAAATGAATAAAAAATTATAAATAAAGCTTACTATGAAACAGTCATCAATACCCAAAGACACTATTTACCTTCAGGAGGGGCAAAAAAATTAAAGAAGGAATCATTGGAAACTGTTTTAGTCACAGTACGAACTGTCCCACGTCCCTTGTGTTTCTGCTTCTTCTTAATGGTTTTCAAAGTGACATTCTTCCCTTTTTTCCAATCTATCTGGCACCTTGCAAAACAATGGAAATATCTTCTTTAACAATCAGCATACTTTATTGCTAGATTTTTAAAAGTAAACATTTTACTTAGTTTTTAAATTTTAGAGGAGGTGATCAGCAGATGGCATTGTGGTTAAGACACTGGACACTCCCCCACATGGTTGACCATGGTTCAAGTCCCGGACCTGGCAGCTTGCTTTTTCACTTTCCTCTCTATCTCTGGTCAAATTGAATTAAAATGAGTGAATAAATAAAACAATTCTTTAAAATAAATAAATATATTTTAGAGGAGAAAAACGGGTTAAAATGTTTTCTGTAGTGTCATAAGGAAAAAAAATATTATTTTGCTCATCAGCAAGAGAGGGAGAGAGAGAAAGCAACCCCCAATATGACTGACAATGTTGCAACCCCTTCTCTTCCACTTCATCCTGTCATGATTTTGGACATGCACATTCACCCAGCATGTTCTTCAAGTTGCTGGGTCCAGGACTCAAATCACATGGTCAGTTCATGTGGGATATGGTTCTTAACTATTAATCATGAGCCAACATGGGAAAAATTACTTTCAAACAAATTTTTTACAATAAATATATTTATTAGCAATTAGCAAACATATAATAAATTTAAAAGTGCGTTCTTTCGCAGAAATTTATGTTATAGTCATGAGCCAAGAAAAATTTTAGTAAAATGTTCAAGTACTTCTCAGAAAACATTATACTGAAATGTTTGAAAATAAACTATGTATAAATGTAAATAGGAAGCAAATACACTTGAAATATGAAGTATCATAACTCGAAAGTACAAAAAAAAAAAGATGTAACATTCTGTTAAAAATAGCAAAATTAAACTTACCCTGTACAACCCATAATTTCTGGTCCATCAAAAGAAAAGGGATCAGAATCATCTGGTTCTGACCTCATTCTATATGTCTTTGTCAACACTTCATTTGTAAAATATTCATTGGGTTCAAAGTGAAATTCTAAGACAAAACTCTTTAAAAAAAAAAAATACAAATTTAGTTAAATTACTATATTACATATTTCAATGCTTTTGTAAATGAAGCTTAAATAAAAGTTTTTTATTAAGTATATATGTACATGTTTTTTCCTACTCTGAAGTATCATCTAAAAAAGGAAGTACATCAAATAAACCCCAAATTATGCCGAAGGCAAAGCTAAGTAAAGTTTACCTTCAACTTACAACTATTATTTTGTAACACAATAGGCTGGGCACATCTAAAAACAACTAGCCAAGTCTGCCTTCCTCCCCACAAAGAGGCCTTTTAAATATTTTGACTAGAACCTGAATTTGTCACATAAAAATCCCAACCTTAAGAATCCAGACTATACCTATATTAACTTTGCCAAGTGCTGATATTTTAGGGAGAGGTGTCAGCTGATCTTTCCTCACATTTCCTGTGAGAAAAACATCATCTACTGATGTTAATTCTCAAGCACGCAATTTTTGAGAACAAATATTTACTTATTCATATTTCTTGTCATTATTTTAATCTGGTTTAATCCAGAGTCTAGCACTGTCTATATTTCAAAAAGTTTACATTTGGAGAAGGAAATTAATAAATACTGCACCCAATTAGCAAGATCTATTTATTTAAATAAAAAATTAAATTAAAAAGTACAATGTATCATGTATGTTTTTTAGACATAAGATCTTCTACGTTGCCTACGTTTGTCTCTAACTCACCATCACCCTGAGTAGCTGGGACTGCAGGCATCCACGTCCAACCAAAATATCAATTTTAATTCCTTCTCACCTCCATCCCTAACTTTTAAATGATACTTTTTAAAATTTTTTCTTTATTCGTGTAGAGCACACGTACATGTATTTTTTTGGTGAGAGATTTTTGCTATAGGGCACGTGCACTCACCAATGAGAAAGAGACGGAAAATGAGAAATTTCCCCCCAGGGAAGAGGGCCATGCCACAATCCTTTCTCATCCAGTCACCTCTCGGGATTTTGGACATGTACGAACACACATCCGGTGTGAGTTTTAAGCCACTGGGTCTGGGACTTGAACCACGGTTGACTATGTGGGAGTCTAGCAACATAACCATTACACCATCTGCTGGTCCCAGTATGTGTGTTTTCAGAGAGAGATATGAGCATCCTCTATAGGGAGTCACAATGAAATCTCCTTTCTCCATTCTTCGGATGGTATTTTAGGCTGACTAGGCTGGGAATTTGAATCACGGTCACCATGTGGGGATTCAGTTTCTCTTAAGCAGTTCATCACCACTGGCCACAGGGCCTGACTGTATGTTTCCTCTTTTTAAAAACTTCCATTTACCAATCTGTAAGTAGGTCTAAGAATTATAAATATTCCAAGTTCTCTTACCATAGGCTGGCCAGCATCTGAGAATTTCACTTTAATATCTTTCAAGTGCTTCAGAATAGGTTCATCATGTTCCTTCCAATTAAGAAAATAAAAATGATTATCTGAACATGGCATTTTAGGGTTAAGCTTCTATTACTACACAAAACACTATCTGACTGAGAGGATAATGGTTTTGTAATTACTATGAACACCAAGACTTACTCTCCAAATTACATCTTGGAGAGAAGATTTTTGTTTTGTTTTGCTATAAGGCCTGTGCGCTAGCCAGAGAGGAGATAGAGAGAGACAGAAAGCGAGAAATCATCCACCAGGGGATATGGCCACACCAATCCCTTCACCTCTAGGGATCTTAGGCATGCACACACACACACCCGGCATGAGTTTAAGCCACCGAGTCTGAGACTCGAATCATAGTGGAAGACATGGGAGTCCAGTAATGTAGCCATTACACCATCTACTGGCCCTATGTCCAAATTATATCTTATACCATTTGACATTGTGGTCCTATTGTCATTGGTAAAGGAAAAGTGACAAAATAGAAAACTATGTCATTATTATAAAAGCTGATTCCACTGTATACTAGGTCATTTGGTCATTTTTCAAGAAATGATTTGGTAATCTTATTAGGTCTTGCAAGTTAGTTTTTTCTCTCATGCTCAATAGTATTTCAAACTTTTGCCATGGTAGGGAAAAAGGCTGAGAAAATACAAAACTAAGTCTAAATATATCATATTCCAGTTGCTTTTCCTTTTCTTCTGCTTGATCCTTTTCTCTATTATAGTAAAGTACAAATTTCTCCTAATAGTTTTTGTTTCATATTTAAAAAGTCTTTTTTCAATATTAACTGTAAAATTATTTTCATCCTCATCCCAGCTAGTTAGTAATCAGGTAAAGACAAAATGCAAAAAGAGTTATGACAAAGCTATCAGCTAAAAATAAATTATTATCAAAGAGACCATTTCACTACATAATGTTTTAAAACAAATTTAGTCCATTTGATTAATCAAAGCTATAATTTTCTTTCTACAGATAATAGCTATCTCAAAAAAGTGATCATTCTATAAAGGTCAACACTAAGTAGGGGTCATCATCGTCATTTAAATTTTAAAGGTTTACCATTTAAGGTAAACTGGTATTTTCAAGAATAAAATTACCTGAACCATATCACTGAGCAAGTCAACATTCTTAAAAACAGTCAACCAAAATTCAGGAATTCCCTTAGGGTCTTCCTTTTCTTCATCCTTTTTCTCATCTTCGATCTTAGCCTTTTCCTTCAGTTCCTCCTTGATAAGGGACAGAATACATTATTGAACAGATTGACCTCTTGATAAAACTCTTTTATATTCCCTTACTTTACATGCAGTAAACTTAGTATACAAACCAACCCCAAAAGGCTGAAGTTCTAGTCTAACTGTGAAAATGGTTATTACCCACACCAAACCTTAATCACATAAAATTAACATTATCTTATCATTCAAAAAAAAGAACTACAAGGACCAAGAGGTGTAGGAAAAACCATGGGGGGGGGCAGTAAAAAGAAAAGCTTCATGAAAAATACAGACTATTAAGCATAAATGCGAAAAACAAGGGGCCCAATGGTAATACAGATTCACTTAAGGAGGTTCTAGGCTTCTATCTGGAAACATCCTAGAGTACATCAAGCACATATGTACCTACAATCTGGGATGACTGGAGGAATTAAGACCTTGTTAAGAGGTGCTGTCTCTTTCAGTCTTTCCCTCCCTCCCTCTCTTGCCCATAGAAAAAAAAGAAAATTTAAAAAATGGTAGCATACTTTTAGAAAACCAAACAAATGGGAAAAGCAAGAAAAACACACACACAAAAAAAACACAAAACACTTAACTTTGTCCAAAATTTCATCCCACAGTGTTCTTAATCAAAATAATATATAGTTATTAACTAATACTGAAATAGAAATGCTGAAGAAAAGTAGGGTCATGTAACACAGCATCAGTTTTGTATCACAGCTGTGCTATTACTTGTCCACTACTCACTTAAAAGCCTCCATTTCTTCACTAGAAAAATAGTGAAAAATCCGTTCTCTAACATTATGAAGTTCAAGTGGAGTTTATATGCATCCATAAACTTGGAATACTAATTCCCCACACACACACCACACACACAAAAAAACTTGGAATACTATAAAAATGCAAGAAACAAATGACTCTGGGTATACAGAAGGTGCCAGATTGAACGGTGGTTCAACCACATATAAAAAAAACACATTTTCTTACTCTGAAAACACCAGAGACTATGTAATATCATGCCTATAACCAAATGCTAACATTTCTGACAACTTGCAAAGGTTTTATCACGTAAAAACACATTAAAATCAAGTTGATACTAACCGAAATTTCATCTTCCTCATCCGGTTTCCATTCACATTCTTCTTCTGTAGGTTCATAAATTGCATTAATGATCTCAAACCGCTAAAATGATTAAAAGGGGGGAAAAGACAAAGTGTATATAAAAGCACTGCCAGCTAGGCCAAAAGCTAGTAATTTTTCATTAAGGATTCTCATAGATTTAATTAACATCTGTCATAAACTTAAATGATATTACTCATAGTTTCCTCAAATACTTTATCAAGAGGACTTCAAAAAGTTCAAGAAAAAGAAAATTAAAAAAATAAGTTCTGATGCAAAAAAATTTCAATATTTATGCATCGCTTTTCTGTAATATGCATTTTCTATGAAATTTTTGAAGACCCTCCACATAGTAATTACTTCAGTGAGAAGTCTAAAGATTAGGCCATCTGCAAATTTGTTTACATTTTAGAGCTTTGTATTCTAGAATTTTAGATAAGTTATAGTAGACAAAATTACCTTATCGAATAGAGGCTGATAGAGAACAGCATACTTCCTTTCAAGATCATGAACTTCCTCATAAAATTTGGCTTCTATCTGTGCACATTTGACTTGAAGGTTTTTCAGAGCATTCACTCGTCTTTTAACTACCCTAGGCAAGCTGAAAGGTAAGAAACTAGTTACAAATCATCATAGTAAAAAAAAAAATCACAAGTCACACTTCTTTCATCATACTAAAACTGAAATGAACAAGGGACAGGTCGGTTTCCTATTTGAAGCAAAAAGTAGATTTAAAATGACTGAAATTCAAGACAGACATAAATATACTGATCCTTTAACTATGAAACATATCAAAAGTGGAAATTTAGCCAGGTAAATTGATAAGAAAATATAAATTGTACTGTCAACCCTAAATCTTTAATGGTAATCAAGTTCTGTGTTAGATTTGTCATTGCCGGCACCTCAATTACAAAATGCAATCTAGCTTATGAAACTAAGTCATGAAATGATCATTTTAATTCAGAAAATAACAATTACTTGAGTATACTGTAATGTAATTTCTGAACTTAAATGGTCATTTCATGACATGATTTCATAAGCTAGACTGCATGTATTTTCCTTCCATCATTTATTGGGGGAAAGGACGGAAGGATATTTATACTGGGAAAAAGGACAAAATCCTACACCTTTATTTTCTATTTTAGTCTCTATGTTTAATCTGGAACTTGAAATTACATTAAGAATGCAACATATTATCCACTCAATATATACCGACTATCCCCACTCTATGATAGAGAGCAAAAAATCAGAGGACATAAAAGCAGTGAAGGTACTTAATGAGAATAGGACAGTGTGGAATGGGGGAAGTGAAGAGAAGAGCATAGAGAAAGATAGCAAGTGAACAATAGAGAGGCAGGACGTTAGTGAGAAACAGGGCTTATTAACTGTTGATGATGACATGTATAGTATTCTCAACTGGATTGGTCTGAGAAGTATTTCATGATGGGCAAAGTATTTTTACAAGCAAAATGAGAAATAGCAATTGACTGTTTTAAAAAATAATTAGAATAATAAAAATAATGATTGGGGAAAACATAGAAAAGATATTGAATGTTGAAGTGGGGAGATTAATGTCTCTGTACTGACTGACATGCATGGCATTCCCTTTTGAAAAAACAATGTAATACACTGTAAAGTTATATGTAATCCAATGTAATATAAAGAAGAGTATGATGATGATAATAATAAAAAAAAAAAAAGAATGCAACATATTATGAAAAGGGGACAAGATGACCTCCTTAACAGCTTTACTGGGATATAATCAATACATAGTTTACTATGGAGCACTGATATTTTTCCTGTACTACAATGTCTTAAGCCCAAAGGTAGAAGTTCAACATGCTTCTTTAGAGAGACCAGGAGATGATACAATGGTTACGTCGCTGGACTCCAACGTAGTCAACTGTGTGGTTCATGTCCTAGACCTGGTGCACAAAATTTACTTAACTTCAGGGAATCTGTGCAACAGATCCAGAACCTAGGTTAAAATTTCCTTCTAGGCTCTTTGTAAATTAATTATCTTACTTAATCTATTAATTAAGATTAGAAATTTAAAAAAGAGTATCTCATGATGTCATCTTTCTATTTCTTACAAGTAAAAAAAAAAAAAAAAAAACCTGTCAAAACAACCTGCTCCTCTCCCCTAATTAAACGTGGAAATTTTATAATCAAGAAAGAAACAACTATTTCAGTTTCTCGTACAGACACATGAACATGTGACTTCTGAATAAGAATGAAGGTTCACTATCTAGTACAGGGTTAAGTTGCAACCTGGAAAAGGAATGGCCAAAGTGGGTAGCACTGAGAACAGGTCAGAAGAAAGCATTATTTTACAAGAAACTTGGGTTCTGTTGCAGCATTGTAACAACCACTGCCTGTCTGTCTCCTTTACCCTTTGCCAATGTCAGGATTTCCAGGACAATATAGAGAGTTGGAAGCCAGATTGGTTCAGAGTTCTCAAGAATTCTTTCTTCCACCCTGTCCAAACTAGGTATAATGGATTAGACAACCAAAGGAGGCTGTATTCTCTCAAAGTAAAACAGCAAAACTGCCTAGAATTGGTAGCAAATTTTAAGTTTAAGATAACTGGTTCTCACACAGGCTCATTCTGTCTCCTTTTCTATAAACACCAACAGACTGTCACAGACCAAGACTGACCTTCACTCCTCCCCCAATACTCATTATTCTTAATTTTTTTTTTTTGAGAGGTTTTTGCTAAAGGGCACGTGCACTAGCCAGACAGATAACGAGACGGAAAGTGAGAAATCACCCCCTGGAGGGATGACCACACGGCAATCCCTTCTCCTCTCGGGATCTTGGGCACACACGCACACGTGCCTGGCATGAGTTTTTAAAGCCACGTGGTCCGGGACTCGAACCGTGGTCGACTACATGGCAGTCCAGCGACATAACCATTACGCTAACTGCTGGTCCCACTAAAGAATAAGTTTTGATGCAAAAAAAAATTCAAAATCCATTCATAGTTTTTCTATAATATGCTTTTCTGTGATACTGCCTGCTGTGCCTGAGCTCAAGGCCAAAGTAACTAGGAACTCAAGGAATACAATTTACACGTGAGACTAAAGAAGCAGTTATTACCTGACAAAGCGTTATGAAACAAAGAACTTTAAAAGACTAAAAGTATTTAGAGATGCAGAAAGATATAAAATAAGACAAAGATGTTTAAAACACAATGGGAATATCAAATATGAAAACTACAATAATCAACAAAGACAATATGAAAACTACAATAATCAACAAAGACAATAAACAGATTCAACTGAAGAAAAAGTTCTCCTAGAAAGTAGAATGAAAGACACACTGAAATTAGAAATGCTCCATAAATAGATGACAAAAATAGCAAATAGCTGAATAACAGAAATGGGAGACTTCTTATAAAATGAAAATGATAAATTTTTTTAAAAATAACTATTTGTATTTTATTATTATTATTATATTAATTTGACCAGGGAGACAGAAAAAGAGAGAGAGAGAGAGAGAGAGAAAGGAAAAGGGAAAGTGAGAAAACAAGTTGCCAGGTCCGGGACTCAAATCGTGGTCAGCCATGTGGGAATCCGGCACCTTAACCACCACACCACCTGCCAGCCCCAGAGAACAATAAATTTGTCAGTTAAAGCAATCTGAAAATCCTTACTCTACCCCCCAGACATGTTAATGAGATTTATGAGTATCAATGACAAAAGGAAATTCTAAAGGTGTTCAGTGAAAAAGAGCAAATAATCTACAAAGAAAAAGGAACCAGGCTAACATCAGGCTTCAAAGCAAATATTGTATATGAGAAAATGAATTATAATTTATAAAGATATTTAAGAATTTTGAACTTGCAATTTTACAGTCAAACTATTATTCAGAATATTTTACAGTCAAACTATTATTCAGAATATTAATAATTTTATAATATTAGGTCATCAGGTAAGTCATGATGTGTTTTTCTATCCAAAAATGCATCATGATTTTCCAACAACCACATATACCAGACTTTAGGAAGAATGTCACATAAACTCATTATATTCATTAAGAGTTAATTTTGGGAGCTAGCAGGTGGCCTGGTGTCTGAGCCACTGGATTCCCACGTGGCCAACCATGATAGAGGCCTGGACCAGGAGATTTGCTTTCTCACATTCCCTCTGTCTCACTCTGGGGAGCACAATCCCCTATAACAAATTTAAAAGGAAAAAAAAAAAGTCATTTTTAAGGAAGTTGGGGGAAAAAAATCTAAGAGATTTTATATAAGCTATGGGGTGGTCAAATATCTTGGTAAATTTTACTGATCCCTTGAAGAAAAAGAAGAGGACCAAAGAAAGCATATTTATAAACAATTCAGAAATTGGTATATTTAAGAAATCAATGATTTGAAGTAAATAAAAACTTAGGTATTAAATCATCAGCTACTACAATAACAAAAACCGGAATATATTGACTTTGAAACAAGACAGTATGATCCATCCAATGGAAAGTAGAAAAGGAAAAAAAAAAAAAAAAAAAAAGAAGAAAAAAAAAAACAATGAAGTAGAAAATAGGAAAAGATGTCAGCCATTAAGTCAGAGTACGATTGTCCAAAAATGTAAAGAAATGGAAATTAACCAATATAAAAGCAAACATTCTTATTATAGAAGGTATAAGAATGGAAAATACATACCAAACAAAACAAAAACAAAAGATACAAGAGTGAAAAATACATACTAGGTAAACAAAAACAAGCTGGGATAGATTTCTAAATATCAAATGAAATTTACAGCAAAAATTAAAATATGAAGAACACATAAAATGGACCAGAACAAGACATAAACTACACATTACAAACATCACATATTTAGTAACATAGCTTCAAAACATGTTAATCCACAACTAACAGAATTACAGAGATACAAAAACTGGAAATACTTTACATATCCTTCCCTGAAACAGATCAAGTAATCAAAAAATCGGTGGAAACAAAAGAGACCTGAACATTAATGTGCTTGAGATGTTAAATTTCAGCATATACATTGTCACAGCCAACATTTACAGAACATTTACAAAACAACATTAAGGTTATAAAGGACAAAGATTAAAAAAAAAAGTGAACTGAGCATTCAACTACAGAAATTGGAAAAAGGAACAGGGCAAAGCCAGTAAGGATGAAATAACATCAAAGCCAGAAATACACAATACAGAGCAGTAATAACTGAAACTATAGGAAAGCAAAATCAGAATTAATGTTCTTAGAGACATCAGTACAACCAAGAAAACTGGCAATACTAAGATGTAAAATAGAATACAAAAGGGAAAATATTCGGATTTTTTAAAATATCATAGTCCTAGTCACAGATATGCTCTGGATGCCACAAATTAAGGCCAAATAGGAGACCCATGTTTGATTCCTGGCCTACCTTAAAAAAAATTAGAGTTGGGCATAGGAGCACAGGCCTGTGGCTCCAGCTATTTGAAAGGCTGAGACAGAACTGTCTTAAAACACACAGAAGCACATACACATAAAACTCAGTAACTACAGAACTATATACTGATTAATTTAAAGCTCAGATAAAATACTTACATGTTTGGAATACACAACTCTGAAGTTTATAGGAAAAATTAGAA